CGCCTAGCCTCGCTCAGACGAGCACATGGCTCCTGCGCAGCTGCGCGCTTGCGCGGAGCCAGGCCCATGATTGGACTATTGCGTTTATGGCTGTACTGATAGCAACCCCTCGCAGGGCGTCTAGACAGACTGGATGCTCGAGGTGGAGTGCATGCTGGGCGCGCGTCTCGCGGGCTTTGCGGGCCGCTCTATTTATTGTCCTGCCTCGAGGGCAGCGGCGACTACTGGGCAGAGCCTGATGGCGGCATAGCTGCTGCTGGCCTGCGCAGCCGAGGCGACTCCTGGCGGCGCCCCTCTGCGGCACGGTGGCCAGTCTGGGTCGCGGTGGGCGCGTCGGCCGTCGACAGCGCCGCGCGCCGCAACCATCTCTGCCCCAGAATGCACTGGGAGCCTCGGACGGCGCCAGCCTTAGTAAACACGCCGAGAACGAAGGCCAGGAATGAGGCGACGGTCATGCTGATCGGCGCGTTGCTGCCCGGGTCTGTTCTTTCGCACTCGGCTGTCTGCTGCGGGCCACTGTCAGCCAGCGCGGTTTACGCCGGTGCGCCGCGGTCAACGCCGGGACGGCCCTCTCCTGCAGTTGCTGCGATCGAGTCTGCCGGGACGGCCCGCGTAAAGGTCGAGGCCTGACAGAGCCTTGTCGCGCCCCCGTCGCGGTCGAAGTCAAAACCCCGGCGGGTTGGCCGGCCGCGGCGGCGCCTGCGGCGAACCGACTTCGGACGTGTTCCCACGATGGAGTCGATGTCCAATGGTGCTCCCCCGGACGGGGCGCGCGGGGCCAGAATGTCAGTTGCCGCCTTCTCCTGGTCGGATGGCGACGCCCGGTGGCGCCGCTGGTCGAGGCGGCGGCGGCGCGGCCGGGCACCGCGGAGGCGGGGCTCCTGCTGCCAACTGCTGTCGTCGCATGTTTCGCATCAGCTGTTGAAGCTACCAATTGGCATTTGGCGAATTCTGCCCCGTGGACGCGGCGACTGCAACTAACCGGGTAGACTTTCCCAATCGAGGAGGTTTTCCGCGTTTCGCCGAGCGTCGCGGCAGAGGTTGCAAGCCGCCAGTTGGATCCTGCACCCCAGCGGCGCATCGCCGACGCGCGTGGGTCGCGGCAGCGGCACGGGGCCGCGGTGTTGCACTCGCCCCATCACACGGTCGATCCGTTATTTCCATCCAGGTTTGATCCGAGGTTTGCTCCTCTCCCCACAGGGGCCAAGGAGCAGGCGCGCGCTGGGGGCGGCGGAGAATTCCACGGCGCTGACGCTGCGCCCCCCCTGGTCTCGTGCAGCCACGGCTTGTGAGTGCTCCTCTTATAAGGCGCATCTGAATTTGCCCCCCATCCTCGATCGGATCCGCAGTGGGATCATCGGGCGCGCCGCGTTCGCTGTCGGGTTCCCCGACGGGGTCGTCGCTTGCGCGGCGGCGCGCAACTGGCGCGCAATCTGGGCCGATGCCCTTCTGATCGGATGACGCAGCAGCGTGGGTCCAAGAAGTCGGCGAACCAGGTTCATCCGCATCGCTGTTCCTGGCGATGTCGGCTTGCATGGCGGCGCGCAAAGCGTCAATGGTGGTCCGGGCGCGTCGCGCGGCGGGCCTGCCATGGCGTGCCGGGCGACTGTTGCCCTGGCAACTACTCCGGCCGTCGTCACAGGCGTTGACCCCCCGTCACTTCTGGAGCTGGTGGACGCCCCATGTCACCGAGCGCGCTCTGCAGAGCTGAGCGTGGCTCGGCTGCGCACGGTGTCCCGGTGGGTCGTCGCTGCTGCCCGCTGCGCCGCCTGTCTGGCGGCGCCTTGGCAGGCTGCCGCTGTCCTTGCCGATCGCCGGGCCAGCGTCGCCCGTGGACGACGTAGAAAAAGCAGCCCTGCCCCGCGCGTCAGCATCGGCGGCGAAAGAGAAGGCCGCATTGCTAGCCATTGCCACTCTGGAGATGCGTTCGGTCGGCGCTGCATCAAGCTTCGGGCCTGGCGCCCCTGGCCCTGGACTGCTAAGGGCGAGGCCGCGGAGGGAAATCTGGGCGCGGGCCCGAGCGCTCGCGGGCCCCGGGCACGCGATGGCGGCGACGCGAAGGGCGCAGCCGCTGGCGCGCGCGCCAGGCGGCTCGAACACCTCTGAGCCAAATGCTTCAGAGCCGCTCGTTGCGGCCGCGCGCAGAGATGCGAGCATATGCAAGCTAAGAGAATGAGCACCCTCTGACGTAGTTAACGGCGCATGAGCTCAGGCCCACGGCAATAGGCGTGCAATGGCGGACCCGTTCCTTCTGCACCTGCAGAAATGTCAAAATTACCCCGGCGGGTCGATTGGGGGGCCATCGACGCCCCCTCAATATAAGCCTCGAGGCGGCCTGGGGCTCGCGCGGCGAGGCGGCGTGGCCGCGTGCCCGAAGCTCGGCCCCACCCCTCCTTCAGGTTGCGCACGTTGCTCGCGGTCACTCCCCATGGTGGCACCTTCGCCCCTTGCCCCGAAGCATCCGGCGATTGGGGCGCGGGTGGCAGGTGCTGTCGGGGTCTGAGCTGTTGAGCCAGTGGCGCCATCGGTGTCGCGAAGGCCCTCAGGCCCGCGTCAAGGCTGGCTGGTTTGCTCACTTTGGACAGCGGCGACCCCCTGCACCAGCCGGTGGCACAGTTGGGCCAATGTGGCTTGGCTGGTGGCCGCGCTGGCCCCCGCGGTCCCAATTCGCTGAATCGCGCCAACCAGCCTCCGGTAGCAGTAGCGGGCGCCCGCCTGGTCCGAGATGCCCTGCGCACTTGGCTTGGACATCCATTCCTCGCCAAGGCCCTCGCAGCCAGAAGCCATTCCCCCCCCTTTGGGGACAGGGGCAGGGCATCGACGCCCCGGCACGTTATGACCCCGCCCACCACGGCGCAATCCTTGCCGTCGCGAAGACCCGGCAGCGCCGCTGCGCTGCAAAGCATTAATCCACCAAAATGTGGTTCGACCGCCTACCTGGCTGCGCTGAGCGAGCGCTGGGCAGCCCTATTGGCGACCGTGCCACGCTGTTTCTTCTCCCGAGGCGGCGCGCCAAGAAGCGGCGCGCCTCTTTGCTGGTTCGACGGAGATGTCGACAGTGCTTTCAGGCGCGGGCCTCTGGTGGGACGATCTGATCCGTTGGCGTTTTCGGTGGGTCCATCTCGGCGGTGTGGCCCCCGCTTGCACGATGGCCCATGGGGCGGTGGATCCTTGGACGTGAACGACGGCACTGGGCGGGGGCGGGGCCGCTTCGACGACGTCAAAGCCCCCCTCCCTGGCAACTTTACCCCATCTCGCGCGGCGGACTTCGCAGCGCCATTGGATGGATGCAAAGACGTCGGTGGCTCGTGTTCCCGCGGCGCCCTGGCGCTCGAGACCTGCGACGCGATATGTTGCATTCGCACGCGCTGCGTCGGGTCCCCCATGCTCGAGGGCACCTCGTTCGGCTTCGTTCGTGCCAGGTGCCCCGCAGATGCCTGCTCGCTCGCCGGCGCGGGCGGCTCCGAAGGCGTCGGACGTGCAAGAGGCCCGACGGGGCTCGCGGAGCGCTTTCTGGCGAGCCGTCTCGGTGCCAGACCGCGCCGCGCTCACTGGGCGCAAGGCCTTCGGCGCCGTGGTAGCTTATGTCAAGCTGGATACCTTCTTGGCCTGAGGCGGCCAAGACGATTGGGACGTCCGTCGGCTTGACACCCAAAATAACGGTAAACATACGCTTGCCCGTTACAATGATGCCGCGACGTCCCAGTAGCTTCATAGGCTAACTTATATGTGTGGTGTGGCAGTGGGGGGGCAGGGATGACAGGGACAGCGTCGGTGAGGTCGTCATCGAGCTGTGTGCGTCCTTGGTCACGCTTCGCCGTCTCATGGCGCTCGTGGGCCCTCTGCTGTGCCGAGCCTGTACCTCCTGGCTGAAGCGTGTCGTGGATGGAAGGTGTTCCCGATACCTAGGTGAGTAGCTCCTGCAATGCTGGCGCGACAGCAGCAGCATCAGTTTGGCAGATGATTCCACGGATCCACACGTTGCCTGCTGGGTCGAGGGTTGGGTGGACGAAATCTTGAGGGCACTTGACCCCCGCACGGCCTAAATGGCAGACGGTTCCTGGATGGTTCCTTGTATGTGCCCTGATTTATTTCCCTGGGTAGTCAATGCTGATTGGCCTCAGAAAAGCTACTGTGAGGGGTTGATCCTGTCGGCGGATTTGCTGCAGGAGCCCGCTGCCCTTTCTACCGTACGAAAAGAAAATGCGTTTTTTGTACGATGTGCCGTCGTCCGCCTTGTTGAGGGCAAGCGCAATGGGAACATCCCAATGTTGTGCAGCAAGCTGATGAATGGAGCGGTGCCGCGACCCTGGTGGGCGTCGGCGGGAGCCGTGGACCTTGGTCAATCATGTTTGGAGCCCGTTTTGTGCATCACGGGATGATGCAACATGGTGTAGCTGATCTCGTTTCTCCCACAGGTTTATCAGCTCGCCCTTGACCTTGCGATGATTGGAGTGATGTTGTTGGTAGATCGTGTCGAATGTGGTTTGGTGCTTGGGCGATTTCGTTGTATGCAGCGACTGCTCTGTCGCCGCCGCCGCTGCTCTGGAGTGCGGCGACACAAGCTTCCTTGCGGCTGACGTTAGAATGCTGACGGTCGGGTAAGGTTGCCTTTTAGGCGGCCCTTGCCTGTTAGCTTGGGCTGCGGTGGTACTGACAGCGCAAGGCGCTGACATGTTGGAGCCGTGGCGCGCGCGCGGAAATGAACAGGAGGTGACCCGAATCAGTCGCACGCTACCTGGGGTATGTCCACTCTCGTGATGCGTTCAACAGAAGTGCTGGTCGCTTCAAGTCGTGGCTTCGCCCTGAGTCTAGGACCTCCGAGCCGAGGCCCAAGATGAACGGGGAGAGGAGAGTGAGGAGGGGGAAAGAGAGAGTGAAGCAGAGGAGGGCGGGGGGAAGGAGGGGGGGGGGCTGGTGGGCGGCCAGGGGGGGCGGGAAGGAGGGAGAGAGGGGGGGGGGCGAGAAGGGGGGGGGGAGCAGGGCCCTCCTCCTGGCGGGCGCCAGGAAGCTGGGGGCGACCGGCGGGGCCCCCCGAAGGCCTCCCCTCTGGCGGCGTTGTGGCCCAGGAGGTCCAGCGCGCCGCCGCCCCGCAGCGCCCCGGCCGCCAGCTCCAGAGCCAGCTCCCAGCGCCACGCGCCCTCGCACGCCGCCACCGCGGCCCCGAGGCACGCCGCCCCGGGGTCCAGCCTCTCCCGCCGCACGGGCCGGGTGCGCCGACGAGGGGGGCCAGGGAACGTCGAGGCCTTCGGGCGGGCTCGTCGGCCCTCGGCGGCCCTCCAGCCCGGGGATGCCTTCCAGCAGCTGCGCCTCGCCGTGGGCGCACTCTGGAGGGCCCCGACCGTCCCGAGCGCCTGCTGGAGAGGCCAGCCATGCCCCGAAAGCCACGGGGGCGGACTCTCAGCACGGCCCGAGGCACGCGCCTCGGACGAGGGGGCGGGGGCGGCCGGGGAGCACACCGAGGGGGAGGCGAGGAGGCCGCGAACCTGGGGAGGTTCCGCGGCGCTGGCCGTGAGATCCGCACATCCCTGGCCCTTACTAGGGGGCCACATGCGAACCCTACCCCTACCCCCCACGATTTCGGAGGGGGAGGGTGGGGTTCACCTCGTTCGGGAGCTCCCGAGCGAAGTGACCCCCCCCCCCCGAAATCGTGGGGGGTAGGGTTCGCATGTGGCCCCCTACTTACTCCCCCCGTGGGCGCCCCCGAATGGAGCCCAGCAGCGCCAGGGCGCGCTCCCACCGGCCGGGCAGCCGACGGTTCGCTGGCGGGCGGGCCGCCCCGCTGCGCGAGTCTCTGGGGGTCGAGGGGAGCTGTGCGGGCTCGGGGCGCGGCTGCCTCGCGGCGTGCCCACAGCACTCGTCGTCCCAGCCCCTGCTCCCCCTGCCCCGCCTCCAGCTCCTCCTCCAGCTCCTCCTCCAGCTCCTCCTCCAACTCCACCTCCAGTTCCTCCCCGCTCCTTCCTCCTTCATTCAACCCTACCTTCTCCTCCCTCCTACCTCCTCCCCTCCCTCCTCCCTCCTCCCTCCTCCCTCCTCTCTCCTACCTCATCCCCCCGCCCACCTCCCTCCTCCCTCCTCCCTCGCCTATTCTCCTTCCTCCCTCCTCCCTCCTCCCTCCTTCGCCTCCTCGCTCCCTCCCTCCCTCCTCCCTCCTTCTCCTCCTCGAATGTCCAGAATGCCTACCAGGAAACGTTCCGCAATGCCAGGCTTGCCTACCTACTGAAGAGCCGCCCCAAGGCAAATTCAAACCTCGGGGGCCCAAAAACTTCTCGCCGGCGGCCCCGGCGGCCCCAGCGGCTCGCTCGCGGTCGAGTTCCCTATGGGGTCACGAAACGCTGTACTGGGTGGTGAATGACGCACGCAGGCGGTCCCACTTGGGCCTTCGGTGGAGCCCCCTACGGGGCCACGAAACGCTGTACTGGGTGGTGGATGACGCATGCGGGCGGTCCCACTGGGGCCTTCGGTGGAGCCCCCTACGGGGCCACGAAACGCCGCACTGGGTGGTGGATGACGCATGCGGGCGGTCCCACTGGGGCCTTCGGTGGAGCCCTCTATGGGGCCATGAAACGCTGTACTGGGTGGTGGATGACGCATGCGGGCGGTCCCGCTGGAGCCTTCGGTGGAGCTCCCGTTGGGGCCACGAAATGCTGTGCTGGGTGGTGGATGACGCATGCGGGCGGTCCCACTGGGGCCTTCGGTGGAGCCCCCTACGGGGCCACGAAACGCTGTACTGGGTGGTGGATGACGCATGCGGGCGGTCCCACTGGGGCCTTCGGTGGAGCCCTCTATGGGGCCATGAAACGCTGTACTGGGTGGTGGATGACGCATGCGGGCGGTCCCACTGGGGCCTTCGGTGGAGCCCCCTTATGGAGCCACGAAATGCTGTGCTGGGTGGTGGATGACGCATGCGGTCGGTCCCACTGGAGCCTTCGGTGGAGCCCCCATAGGGGGCCACGAAACGCGGTACTGGGTGGTTGATACCGCATGCGGGCGGTCCCACTGGAGCCTTCGGTAAAGCTCTCTATGGGGCCCCGAAATACTGTGTTGGGTGGTGGATGACGCATGCGGGCGGTCCCACTGGAGCCTTCGGTGGAGCTCCTTATGGGGCCACGAAATGAGGGAGGAGCGGGAGGAGCAGGAAGGAAGGAAAAAAGGAGGAGGAGAACGCGGGGCGCTGTCTCTTCAAAACGAGGACCCAACACCACAGGATGGTTGGGAAATACACGAGCTTCACGGATTGAGGGCGGCTCCTCTTCAAAATGTGTCTCTCCCCGTAGTGCCGCGCTCATTTGTTTACAAGCATTACAAGAGAAATGCAGACTCCACTCATCAACGCGCCAGGAATAATGTTTTGAAAAGATTCGGGATTATGCGGGTGCAACAATTACGTTGGTTCGCCGTGTTGAAGTCCCAGGAACGGCGTTCTGGCACGATTTCGGATTGTCAAGACGCAACAGTCAGGTTACTTCGTGGCGTTCGAATCCCGAGAACAATGTTTCGGCATGCTTCGGGGTCTTCAAACGGAAGTCTTCCAAAGAGCCAGTTCCCTCAATGGCAGCTTGGAGGGAGGGATTCTTCCGACATCGTTGATGACTCTTGGGTTCGCACTAGTCCTCCTCCTCCTCCTCCGCCTCCTCCTCCTCGTCCTCCTCCTCTCTCCTCCTCCTCTTCCTCCTCCTGCTCCTCCTCCTCCTCCTCCTCCTCCTCCTGCTCCTCTTCCTCCTCCTCCTCCTCCTCTCCTCCCTCCCTCCTTCCCTCCTCCTCCTCCTCCTCCTCCTCTCTCTCCTCCTCCTCCTCCTCCTCCTCCTCCTCCTCCTCCTCCCCCTCCTCCTCTTCCTCCTCCCCCTTTTCCTCCTCGTCCTTCTCCTCCTCCTCCTCCTCCTCCGCCGCCGCCGCCGCCGCCCCCACCTCCTCCGCCTCCTCCGCTCCTCCTCCATTGTTCTAAATTGGATGTCCGATGGCGACAAAAGTGGTGGCAAAGCGTCGGCTGCCCTCTGGCGACCCTTCGAGCAAGCGCTCACGGTGGCGATGTAGCTGACGTCGTCACGGGCCACTGCCCAGTCCTCCGCGAAAGGAAGGCGGGCGAGGAGGAGGAACAATTGAGAGAAGGGAAGCGGGAGGCAGGAGGGGGTTGGGAGACAACTTATGGGAGGATTTCGCAAGAACGAGTTGGCGCGGATAAGCCCGAATAGGATGCCATTCAGCTGGATTGGCCCACATTCAGCTGGACGAAGAGGAATTAAAGAAAATCAAACCGGGCGATGCTGTATTAGGCCAGATGGGGACGGGTTTCGACCACGGATATACCAGCGCCGATGCTGAATGCAAGCACCCAGAAGCTGCATCCTGAAAAGGGTGGGGATAGGGGAGGACGTCCGTCGCTGGCTGCGCAATGGCGCGCGAAGTGGCTTGTCGAACGATCGGCGGCCTGCCAGATGACGAGATGGAGGCCAGAGGGAGAGGAGCCGAAGGGGGCCCAGACCGCCAGCAGACCGCTCGCGAGCGCGAGCGCTATCCCGAAATCAGTGGCCACAAAAGAAGAGGAGGGGGGAGGGAGGAGGGAGGAGGGAGGGAGGAGGGAGGAGGGAGGAGGGAGGGAGGGAAGAAGGGAGGGAGGGAGGGAGGGAACGAGGAGAGGAGGGAGGAGGAGGAGGAGGAGGAGGAGGTGGAGGAAAACGAGGAGGGAGGAAGAGGCGGGAGGAGGGAGGAGGGAGGAGGGGAGGAGGAGAGGAGGGGAGGGAGGGGGAAGGGGGGAGGGGGGGGACTTCCCGATCGCGGGGAGGCCTGCGGCCCACAGCAGACCACCGGCGATCCCCCGACTGCCCTCGTGCCAGCCACACTGACTGCGGCGGGGAGGACAGCGGCTCGATGAGGGAGGGCGGGAGGCACAGGGAGGGGGGCCAGGGGGCCAGGGAGGCAGGGAGGGAGGGAGGCCAGGGAGGGAGGCAGGGAGGGAGGCAGAGAGCAGGGGGGACAGAGGGGGGGGAGGGAGGGAGGCAGGGAGGGAGGCCCACGATGGGCTCCACGATGATCCACCGCCTCCCTTGCATGCCGCTCTTCGCGTAGGGGACCGGGTGGAGGAGGGGGTGGAGGAGGAGGAGGAGGAGGAGAGGAGGGGAAGGAGGAGGAGAGGAGGAGGAAGGGAGGAGGAGGAGGAGGAGGAGGAGGAGGAGGAGGAGGAGGAGGAGGAGGAGGAGGAGGAGGAGGAGGAGGAGGAGTTTGACTAGTGTAAACCCAAGGGTCCTCAACGATGTCGGAATTGGAATTGACCCCCCCTCCAAGCTCCCTCTTCATAGGCCCCTACAACGGTTCATTTCCATTGAGGGGACTGCCTCGTTGGAAGACAACTGTTTGAAGATCTTGAAGCATGCCAAAAAATGATCTCTGGATTTCAACGCCACGTATCAACCTGACTACTGCGTCTTGACGATCCCGAATCGTGCCAGAACGCCATTGCTTAGACTTCAACACCGCGAATCAATATAACTGTTGCACCCGCATAATCCTGAATCCTTCCAAAATAACATTTCTGGTACGTTGACCATGGGAATCCGTGAAACACTTGCAAATGTTGCAAACGGATGTGCGCGGCACTTAACCGAGAGCCACATGTTGAAAACGAACCGCCTTCAACGCGTGCAACTCTTGTAATTTAAACAAATGAGCGCGGCACTACGGCGAGAGCCACATTTTGAAAACGACCCGCCCTCAATCCGTGAAACTCTTAAAAGTGTTCAAAACGAATGTGCGCGGCGCTCAGGCGAGAGCCACATTGCACTCAATTCGCGAACTTCTTGCAAATGTTGAAAACGAATGCACGCGGCGCTAAGGCGAGAAAAACATGTTGAAAACGACACGCCCTCAATCCGTGAAGCTCTTATAAATTTTCCAAACGCAAATGCGCGGCGCTAAGGCGAGAACCACATGTTGAAAACGACCCGCCCTCCATCCGTGAAACTGTTCACTCTTTAACATTCAGCGTCATAAATGGTGAGGAAATCTCAGGCCAAACGCCCGGCCCGCCCTAAAAACTGGCCTCGGGGTGCGAAAGGGAGAAGTTCTCTATAAGGAGAAGGAATGGAGGAGGAGGAGGAGGAGGAGGAGGAGGAGGCGGAGAAAGAGGAGGAGGAGCAGGAGGAGGAAGAGGAGGAGGAGGAGGAGGAGGAGGGGGAGGAGGAGAAGGAGGAGGAGGAGGAGGAAGAGGAGGAGGAGGGAGAGGAGGAGGGGGAAGAGGAGGAGGCGGGGGAGAAGGAGGAGGAGGATGAGGAGGATGTGGAGGAGGGGGGGGGATGGGCAAGCTCCGTCGAGAGGTTAGTCGCCCACCCCTCGATTAATATCCCACCCAAAGTATGCCATCTGGAGGAAGGACAGTATCTACCGAGGTCGCCCAACTTCGCGCCTCGCGCCGCCACGCGATGCGCCAAGCGCGCCACTCTCCTCGCGCCCTCGCGCCCTCGCGCCTCCCCCGTCGGGCCTCCCCCGTCGGGCCCGTCGAGGAGGGCAGCCGCTCTGGCCCGGAGGCCGCGGCGCACGAATCGCAACCGTCTTCGAGCCCCCGCGGGCATAAGGAACGAAGCCCCTCTGAGGCCCCAAAGCCGCCTTCGCTCACGAGGGGGGCTGGAGGAACAGCCATGGCAGAACCTAAGGAGTATCGAGCCCCTTCCGAACTCGAACTGCTCCTTGTTTCAGCGTCTTGACCGTGTACACCGTCGCCGAGGAAAGGTGAGACGAAGCCAGCAGAGCATCTGCTCGGCGGACCGCCAGGCCAGCCACCGCCCGAAAAGCGGGAGCTGCCCCTGCGGCAGAAGGAGCAGAGGGCCCCTGCTCAGGCTGTGCGCAAGCACGCCCTGCTGCTGCCCCTCCCATCCTTAGACGAGGCCAGGACGAGGATAAAATCGGGCGAGGAGAAATCCACAATCCCTGAGATGCCGCGGCTCTGGAGGATGCCTCGGGCGCCGCGGCCTTCTCGGAGCGTTCCGGAAGGCTCGGAAGGCGCTCTGCAACGCTCTGGAACGGACTTCTCCTCGCCCCGGCCCCGTCCGAGAAGTATACAGCATAGGCACACCACAATACACCACAACCACCACCACCACCACCACCACAACCTCCACGGGCCCGGCTTGGGCCCACGGCATGGGCCCAGGCAACCCCTTGGCGCCAGCTCCGGGCCCCCAGGCCAGTGGGGCCTCCTCCTCCTCCTCCTCCTCCTCCTCCTCCTCCTCCTCCTCATCCTCCTCCTCCTCCTCCTCCTCCTCCTCCATCCAGCCCCAGGCGGTCACGCGGGTGCCCGGCGGGCTGCGAGCGCCATCCCTCTACGCACACGAGGAGGGGGGCGGGAGAGAGGGGGCGGAGGCTGAATAGGTGCGCTCGCTCCGTCTCTGACATCCCACCCTGCCCACCCATCCCTTCCCATCGTGCTGATTATCTCTCTGTCCTCCGACGCGTGTCACAGCGGACCTGCAGCCCCCTAAAGGACCCCTTATCGTTTTGTGCGCTATCGGGAAAACGGGGAGCTGCGCACATTGGAGGAGGATGTGGCGGATAAGCAGGAGGATTAGCAGGAACAAAAGGAGGACGAGGACGAACATCGGCGGCAGGAGCTGGAGCGGAATGGGCGGGAGGAGCAAGAGGACCAGGGAAGGCGGAGGGGGAAGGAGCGGGGAGACAACGATGAGGAAGCCACCTGGATGTGGCAAAGTGGCCCGCGCCGGGAAGAGCGCCATTCTAAAGCGAGGCCCGCGCTGCAGCGGGAGCACCATTTTGAAGCACCGAGAGCGCTTCGACTCGGAAACACCTGGGAAAGGCCCGATCATGACACCCTGCGTGTGCAAAAACGATACGCGGAGCGGGCGGGACATCTTCTGCACGGCGCCAGGGGAGAGGGGGGAGCGGTGCCCCGACAGTGCTTGCCGTCAGGGGCCCCTGCGTGCTCTGCAAAGACGCTGGGCGGACCACCCGAGGCTCTTGCCGGTGACCGCCCGTGGCCGCCCCGGGGCCGCCCGCGGCCGTCGCCCGCGCCCGCGCCGCGGCCCGCGCCGCGGGAATGCCGCGGGCTCGCGTCGTCTCGACCCCGGCGTCGGCCCCCGACACCGCGGGGATCCTGCCGCCCTGCACGATCGGCCGCCTCCCGCAGCGCCGAAGCGCTCGGAGCGCCGACCGCCTCTGGGCCGCCGCCGGCGCTCCACGCGGAACGCTGGCGGCGGGGCCGGCGGCCGTCGACACGACGCGAACCCGCCGTACAGCCCCCGCGCCTCGGATCCCACCGCAGCAGCAGCGGGGGCTGTACAGTGGGCTGTACAGCGGGGGCTGTACAGAGGAGGAGGGGGAGGAGGAGGAGGAGGAGAAGGAGGAGGAGGAGGAGGAGGAGGAGGAGGGAGAGGAGGAGGAGGAGGAGAAGAGGAGGAGGGGGAGGAGGGGGGGAGGAGGAGGGGGAGGGGAGGAGGAGGAGGATAGAGGACCCCAGTCCTCCATCCTCCGCAGCAGCTCCAGCGCGCACGCCC